CCTGCTGAGCTTATGGAAGGTCTCTTGATCCTTGTGGAAAATATTTTAGGCAACACTGATTTTTGCAGTTTGAAGACAATAAATTATATTCATATATTGGCTGCTGAAGTTTAAATTAACTTCTTGTGAAGTATATGCACTTTTGCCTTTTACTGCTGAGAATAATTTTTAAAAATCTTAGAAGGCAGATGCTCTGCAGGGCAGCACTTACTAGGCCTGTGACTGGGCTTTAGTTTATGAAAATCAGTCCTGTGACTGAAACCAGCAGATTTGCATAACACAGCTGTAATTTAAAACACAAACAAAAGATGGTTGTGTGAAATGAGTTCCTTGGTGCCCTGTAGTTCAGTTTTTCTGTTGTTAGTGTGTACCTGTGGTACAATGGTCATAATTGCATGAACAAAGCCATGTAAGCCTGGTCTTTATTGGACTGTTCTTTCAGTTGCAAGGCTCAAATGTTTTGCTACCAAAGATAATTCTGTAGAGCATAGTAGAATAGCTTTTATGCAGCACAATATTAGGATTTAATTGTGACTGTGTTAGTAAATGGAATCCATGGTCAAAGGCATTTATGGGAATACTAGGAAGATTTAATAAGCAGGAAAAGAAGGACTACAAAGGGAAAGGTTTGTCTCTTTACTCCTGGTGTATTCATTACACAAAACCTTTTTATATGCTCACAATTTCTAGCCTTGTTTAAAAAGTGACTTATTTGTATTAATCATTATTGCTGTTTGTGTACACCAAATCCCAAGTCTTCAAAGGAGACGGTAAGAAAACTTCAGTCTTCTGAGCCTGATTCTGATCCAACTCACATGAGAGTAAATCAGGAGCCTTCCAGTAAAGTCCATGGAAGTATATGGGTGTAGTAGTTGTAGTAGCAGGGAGAAGAGAATCAAACTGCATGGATCAGGTTCATCAGTATGCTGTAGCTGCTTTGTGCCATCCCAGTGACACCAAACAGCTGCAAAAGTGACTGAACCAATAAATTATATTTAGACTGTTTTGTGTCACTGTTTTGCTTGGCCAGGAAGCCATCTAATAACAAACCTATCTCATGTCTGTAAATTTGAGGGTTATAGGGAAGTGTAGCCTACTTACTCCTATCATGGGGAAAATCTGAATTCTCTGGGTTTGTGCACTGTGTGGAGTCCTTACCACTCTATACAGTAAAGAATAGCAGCAATGAAGGAGTTAACAGGTGCAACATTATTAATGAGGCAGTCTCAGTGGGAAATGGCATTTCCAAGTCCCTAGTGTGAAGTTAGTAAATGCCCTTTAAATGTGTAAACAGTATCAAGCTGTAATTTATCTCAGCCTAAAGCAGCTGGAGCAGAGCCGCTGTCTCATTAACACCTAGGGGCAGGAATCTCCAGCTACCACCTAGCCCTGGGAGCATTACTGTGAAGGCAGGATAGGAAGAACTGTAGTATGAACAATGCCTCAGGTTCCCCATGGGCTAAAGGGAGTTGCTTTCTACCAAGTAGCGCTACATTTGTTAACCATGGGCTGCTGTTTCTGTAAACCCATTTCTTTCTCGTAATCTCACTGAATATTTGTCTGTT